CGCCTCTTTTTCTCTTTCCTGACGCCTCGTGCCTCCTGTTTTGCTGTTTCTTTTTCGCCGTCGTCTCCGTTCCCCGAGTCAGACCCCACAAAAGAAAAGGGGGACTCATCCAGACAACCATGACAATTTTTCCACCTCTCATTGCTACCGGCAATTTAACAGGGTCCCCTCGCTGTTAGGGAAACCTCGAATGGGCACCTGGCACACGGGGAAACAAACGAACTAAATAACGTTGTTCCAGATACGCATTGTGGTTTCGGAACAAGCATTTGAGCCAGTAAGGCATGCAAATGAAAGCATATTCGGGCCACGACAGCCCCGGCATATTAAGCCAATTCTCAAGTTCCTTTTCTTTTTCTTTTCTTATAAGGTCCGTGATAGAGGACAGGGACGATTTTGTTCCCCAGTAATATTTCGTTTTCTTTCTCATCTTTCGTCCTTTCTCTCGTTCTTTAGTTATTATTAATTCTGTATCCTTGTTTTCGCGGTTGCTATAAGGTAATTACAATGGAGATAGCGTTGCAATGGAGTACGATGATGATAGCGACGCAACTGAATCCCAGTGATTAATGGCACGCTACTGAGTACTCCCACAGAAACCAATGCTTTCCACCCACGGGTAAAGCAAACGGGAGGAGGAACACTACGCAATTCCGTGTGTGCCAGAGCAGGACACCGTTACCTCCCCTCCCCACTAATTAATTTGTGCGATTAACAACTTAACCATGAGTGCCTTCCGCAGGAAGCCCGATCATGGGCCGGTCCCGCCGCTCGGGGCGGCAGCGCCAATTAAGGCGCCTGGTCAGAGCACACCACCAGGTGCGGGTGTTTGACCCGCGGGTATTCGAGGTGTACCCCCGTACCGCTCCTGTACCCGAACCCCGGGAGAAACACCACCCGCCACCTCCTCCTCAGCAACCTCAGCCTCCTCCGCCTCAGAAGCTTCCTCCCCCGTACCCTCAGCCCCCTCCTCCTCAGAAGCTTCCTCCCCCGTACCCTCAGCCTCCTCCCCCACAGAAACTTCCTCCCCCGTACCGTCAGCCTCCTCAGAAGTTTCCTCCCCCACGTATTGAGAACCTCCAAGCACCTCCTGTCCGCCCACCCCCGCCTACCTCCGGCGAGCACTGCCCTCAGCGAGTGTGGAGGCCGCGGCCCCCTATTACCCCTCCACCACGGGCACCTCTGGCCGCGATCCCCGGCCCAGCACCTTCGCTCGCGTCAAAGGAGCCGGCGATAGCCCGGGTACCGACTGCTCGTCCGCGGGTGGTCTCGAACATACCACTCCAGCGGAGGATAAAAATTATCCGCCCTCGCGTCGACATCCCCAAAAGGGGGCGGAACATGCCGTCGTTATAGGCCTCTTCCCCTTTGTATACACCCTGTACATACTCATGTAAATAAAACAACATACAGATCACACTCACACACACTCATTTATACACCCACACATGCGCACACTGAAATTTCTAACTCTCTCTTCCTTCTCCGCCTTCCCCCTTCTCGTCAGAATATTTCTGACGTCCCCGCGCAGAAATAAAAAACGCGGTCGTAACAGATGTCCAATAAATTTCAATTCTGGACAGAAGGTGTGACTCAATGTGTTATCCTTTGTTATATCCATACGGTAACGATGGATGACATTCAGAATTGAAAACTGATAATCCTAAATATCCAGGATTCGAAGTAACTCAAATGGATTATTATGCACACTTACTTGCATCAAGAGCCGAATTCAGCCATTTTCAAAGGGCAGGCAAGTTGAGATGTCAATTTATACTTGATGCCTATATGAAAACTGAAGCGAATAAGCTTAATTACATTAAAGTGAATCAGCCCCAATTAAGAGCTGAACTTTATTCAGGGCTAATGGATCATCTTCATAATAGAGCAGAAAATGAAGGAATTACAGCTGGTATACCTGTAATATTACCATCCTCATTTATGGGCAGTCCAAGAAATATGCAAGAAAGATACCAAGATGCTATGTCTTTGGTTAGAAAGTTTGGTAAACCAGATATTTTTCTAACAATGACATGCAATCCTCAATGCCCTGAAATTAAGGAGAACCTTGATGGATGCCAAGTAGAGTATCGACCTGATTTAGTCGCTAAAACATTCAGCTTGGACGTCAAAGAGGTTATGAGGGAGCTGATCCAAAATAGAATTTTTGGAAATATCATAGCCTATGCAGGCGTGATTGAGTTCCAAAACAGAGGACTTCCACATATGCATTTACTTGCAATGTTGAGTGAGGAAGAGAAGCCTCGACTTCAAGGATTAATTGACATGATGGTATGGGCTGAAATGCCTGACGAAGAAAGATATCCAGAACTTAATGCAAAAGTTCTGAGGCACATGATTCATGGACCCTGTGGTGACCTTTCACGTAGATATTCTTGCACTGGGAACGATGGAAAATGCATAAAAGGCTTTCCAAAAGAGTTTTGAGACGAAACAAATGCTAATGTAAATGGATATCCCATGCATCAACGAAGGAATACTGGGAAAAAATACATTGTCAGAGGAAAAGAAATTGACAATCGATGGGTGGTGCCATATTCGCCATATTTAATTATGAAATATGATCGGCACATCAATTTGGAAATATGCTCATCAGTGAAGAGCGTAAAATAGTTATCAAGTACATTCACAAAGGATTTGACTGTGCTGCAATTGAAGTGCAAGCACGAGATGGCACAAAGTTCATTAAAGTAGATGAAGTTAATTCATTCATGGATGCAAGATATGTTAGTGCTCCAGAAGCAATTTGGAGACTGAATGGATACGATCTGTTCATGAAGTCTCACACAGTAATAAGACTGGCAGTTCATTTGCCTAATCGCCAAATGGTTTATTTCCGAGCCGGAAATGAAGAGCAAGCTGCTGAAAGAGAGCTCAACCGAGATACTACATTGACTGCATGGTTCAAATTGAATCAATATGATGAAAATGCGAGAAAATTTCTTTACACAGATATACCTTCTCATTATGTTTATGAAGAAAAGGAAACTAATTGGAAGCTACGCCAAAAAGGTGTTAACAAAATAATTTCAAGGCTATACACAGTGAGTATCAGAGACACTGAAAGATTTTATCTCCGTCTACTACTCCTTAATGTGACTGGAGCTAAATGTTATGAAGATCTGAGAACTGTCAATGGAGTTCTGTATGAGACATTCAAGGATGCGGCAATTGCAAAGAATTTGGTAGAAACTGATGATCTTTGGGACTAAACGCTGGAAGAAGCGACAGGATCCCAAATGCCTGCACAGATTCGAGAGCTATTTGCCTACATTTGCATTTTTGGAACTCCAACAGATGTACCAACACTTTGGAATAGATACAAAGAGTCAATGATTGAGGACTATATACACAACAATGTTGTCGATCCTGAAAATATGGCTTTGATTTATATAGAGGAAATTCTGAAAATTAATGGAAGTAGCTGTGTAAATTTTCAATTGCCAAATCCATATCCGGTAAATATTTACATGACAGAATATAATGTGGAAGAGGAAAGGCAACGTGGTAACTATTTATTATCAACACTAAATGAGGAACAAAAAAAAGTGTATGATTTAGTCATGAGAGCAATTGACAATGAGAATGAACCTCAGAGGTTGTTTTGTATCGATGGATTTGCTGGTAGTGGTAAAACGTACCTGTTTAACACATTACTGAGATTAATCCGAGGAAAAAACGAGGTGGTTCTTCCATGTGCCTCAACTGGCATTGCTGCCACACTTCTAAAGGGAGGAAGAACCTATCACTCACTGTTCAAGTTGTCCATCCCAATTGATAATGGTGCAAAATGTAATATTAGAGAAAACTCTATAGCTGCGCGAGAACTGATTGCTGCAAAACTCATCATATGGGATGAGGCGAGTATGACTGTCGGACATGCCTAGGAGCAGTTGATAAACTCCTAAGGGATCTAATGAAGAATCCACGATTATTTGGAGGAAAAGAGTAGATAGGCTAGGTTACTACTACCTCAAGGCCGCCGCGCGCGGCGCGGGGAGGGGGGTACGCAGCCGGGGTGGGGGTGGTGGGTAAGCCCCACCCCCTTCCACACGCCCACATGGGGTGGGGGGAGGGGAAGCCCCTCCCCTTTCACACCCACATGGGGGTGGGGGCGAGGCCCCCCTCCACACAGGCCCACGTGGAGGTGGGGTCCAAGCCCTCCTCCACACAGGTCCACACGGAGGTGGGGGCAATGCCCTCCTTCGCGGACAGCATACCCGCGCTCCCGCGCCGCCGCGCGGCGTCCTCGGTTACTACGGCGCGCCATCGCGCAGAGTAACAGAGGCAATGAGTCATGCACGCGCGAGCCGCATGGATCCCCCCCCACCATCACCGTAAAAGAATAAAATAATCGCGGAAAAAAACGACGGCTCGCCGGGACTCGAACCCGGCTCGCGCGACTGACAGTCTGACGTCAAACGCATGCGGCTATCGCGTACACTTCAAGAGACATAGGAAACAACCGAG